CAATGGGGAAGATGTAGTAGAAGTCTATGGGATTCGAGCTGCTCCTCTTGCTTTCTGCCAAACTGCACTGACTGCAGCAGCCATCCCAGTGCGTTCCTCCTCCCCACTGGGATCACCAGCAGCTGCACTGAGCTCCGCTCAGCCCTTGGCCGGCCTTCCAGCTTTCGAGCATTGTCAGCACGATGATAAGGTGGTGCTACATGTGGCTGCCCCACTGCACAAGAGATGCCATTGTCCTGGTGTCCCCGAGAGCTCCCCTTGTCCGCTCCGCTGCGCCGTGGGGGAGGGTCTGAGGGGATAAGGCTCTTATAGTCTATGGACACCAATGTATATATATATTTACTGTGGACAGAAGAAGAAAAGATGATTGTGTCCTTTCGGACAACAAAGCAGCTTTATGCTGGAGCCCATTAGAATGCTTCGCAGATTCCCATCCGACCCCTCTCTGGAGGCTCACGAGCTGCAGCAGGGGCAGCCCTCCTTCCCCACAACCCCCTCCCAGAGCTGCAGGGCCCTTGCTTTGAGGAGGCCCCAAGTCATTGCTGGCTTCATTAGCATCCTCTGAGCGTTCTTCTCTTTTCCATAAGAAAATATTTTTTCTCATAATAACCGCAGCGATTGGGGATGGGCTTTCTGCTGTACCGGCCAGCAGCAATGGTTTGTTTTCCACTTTAACCAAACAGTTTTATTTTTTCTCTGCCCCTTTTTCTCCCCCTTTTGCAACCTTAACTTTTTGACACCGCCTCCAGATCTCTCTCAGTGCGGTCGGAGGAGATCTGTAGTGCTGCCACAGCCCTGTTATTGTTTTGCTCCGATTCTCTGATAGCCACAAGGATGGAGTCCTGCACAGCTTGTCCCGGAGGCAAGTCAATATTGACGGATTCATTCCTCTCAGATGTGCGGGCCATAAAGGGTATTGTTTTAGGACCTGCTCCTGTAGGTGGTTAACGCCATCGGCTCTGCTGCATGCAGGGCCGTGCAGGGTGAGGGCAGGGAGCGGGGTGACGCAGGGAGAACGCAGGGATGGATTTTTGTATGGAGATCTTCTTCACCTTGTCGCTACCTTCCTGCTTTTGTGGAAAAGCCTGGAGCAAAACTAGAAGCCCTCAGTAGTTGTGCTCTGTGGGCTCCAAGCTGAACGCTGTGCTCCCTCCGACTCTTTTCACTAGGTCTTTGAGAAGCCTCGCTGCATTGCCACCACCACCTGACCCTGTTTTCCACAGGGAAGTGGAATCTACCTTCCAACTGGTTCTGAGTTGAGGTTTTACTGCCTCTCCAATGCATGAGGCTTCTGTGATTTTCTGCTCCCAGCTCCTTCTGAACACGCAGCTCTCCAGAGCACCAGTTTCAGAGCTGACTTTCATTCTTCAGCCTTCGTTGCCAGCTCAGGTTGAATCAAGCAGTGGTTGCTCTACTTCTTATTGCTGGTCCTTCCCCACCTCTCCCAGCTCAGGCATCCCCACCCCTCTCCTGCTCTGGCACCAGAAGTCCTGAAGCCAATGCTGTTGTATTCCCCATTGGATCAGTGTGGGAATGGGCTCCTCGCCATCCTCCAGAGGAAATACAAGCTGCAGGAGACTAACTCCAAGCTTCACGCGTCTAATGGTGTGTGGGTTGTCTTGGGGGGCCAAGGAAGGATGGATGCTCCATCCCCTGGGCTTGCTGGGTTTCCTGCTGATCCCACACTCAGTGTCGTGCTGAAGGTTGGACTGGATGATCATAGAGGTCTTTTCCAACCCTATTGATTCTGCATTTCTGTGATCGGCTCTTCCCCTCCTGTCTCCCCAGCCATGTGCGGTGTGGTAGCCACCATCTGGTTCCCCGTCTGCGCCCACCGTGAAACCACCATCATGAGCTTTGGATACTCGCTGTACACGGGCTGGATCGGCTCTGCCCTCTGCCTCTTTGGTGGCTGCGTCATCGTCTGCTGCTCGGGGGACGCTCAGACCTTCGGCGAGAATCGCTTCTACTACGCCTCGGGCTCCAGCTCCCCCACCCATGCTAAGAGTGCCCACGTCTGAGCTCCCATATCTGCTGGGTCTGCACACCATGGGTTCACTTCTCCTGGCACTCGCTGCTGTTGTGCTCCCCGGAAAGGTTTTAAAGCAGCAGCCCAAGCGCCCGGCAGTCCCAGGTGTTGTTGTCCTCACTGTTGTCCCCTTCTCTGGAAAACAAGCCCCAGCCCCCACTCCTACCTGTTTCACCCTCCCCATCCTCCTGCCCCAGGGGTGGTGTGTGGGCCTCAGGTGGGTTTGGGGTTTTTTATTTTACTGCTCATCAAGAGAGCTTAAAGCAGCAAAGCAGACGTGAGAGGCACTTCCCCGCTGCCGAGGGCTCCTGCACGTCCCCATTTGCTTTCCAGTCCCCGAGGTCACCGCTCTGGCACAGTCTGGGAGCAAGGGCTGAGGGAGGTGCACCCTCCCAACAGGCAAATGTTTCTCTTTTGGAACAGTAGGGGATTTTTTCTGCCTTTCTCTGTAAATACTTTTGTATGGATTCGATCGTTTTAGTAACATTGTTTCCCCCACTCCCCGGGTCATCAGTATGAAGGAAACAGAACCCAAAGGTCCTAACGTTGCGATACGTAACAGTGTCTGTATATAGTTCCAATGACTCTGGGGGCTCTAATCCCCACACTCTTTTTTAGTGTTGTTTTGTTTTTTGGGTTTTTTTTTTCCATTTTTTTTTCTTTGTACAGATCAGTTACTAAAAATGTGTTTTTTACATTTACATTTGCTTTCATCCCACAAATCTGTGTTCACCGTTCTGTAGCATGTTTTTAACACACAGTTACACTGTCACAATGCAATTCTGGTGAATACTGATGATGCCTTTGTACTTCAACTGAAATACTGTACAATAAATAACAGAGTATCTGCGGCTCTGCCTTCTCCTTTTCCTTCCTTCCTGTGTGCTTCCATGGCTAGCTTTTCCATGACGCAGTTTCCTAATGATTTTGAAGGGTTTTTTTGAAAGCAATTTGAGATGAGAAGTTCTGCTCTGCTGCGGATTCAAGGCTGCCTTTGCTTTTGGGAGAGTATTCAAAAGCCAGCTAACCTTCCTGCTTGGAACCAACTGCAGCCTTGTGTGTTGTTCCTTGTTTTATCCCAGGGTTGGGGTTTGTGGCATTTTTCCCATCCAGGAGGCTTAGAAACCCATTGGAGAAGTCCAAAATCTTGTTGCTCTGAACTCAAGTTTAAGTGTGCTCTGGGGTCATTACTCTTAATTCAAACCATGTAAGATCAAGATCCAGCTCTGTCCTCACTGGAGGCTGCAGCAATTACTGTGATACCAAGCCCCATCAGTTCCCAGGGCTGTTAACTCACTCCACGTAATTGGTGCACACTTCAGCCCTGGGGCTGAAGCAAGGGGAGAGCCCGGAGCTGTGTGCACAAGCAGAGATGTCACTAGGAGGTTTGGGGTGGTGGGAAGGGATCTGCAAACAGGGCAGTATGACAAGCCTTGGTGTGCTGGCATGTGCTCATTCATCCATCAGAATCTCCCCATCCATGGCCTGCTTTGGTTGGAGAGCCCAACTACGGCCACGGATGCTGCAGCCCCACATTTTGCCCTAGGAAGATGTGAGGCTGAAATGGGAGCAGCTAAAGGGAGAGAATGAGGATGGCTGCACTCCCTCTGCGACAGCATGGAGATAAGGACCCAGGCCCTGGCTCTCATCCTGCTGCTCCAGCACACAGCATCTGCCTCAAGCTCCAGCAGCCCCAGAGGCGCAGCCCAGGGCTGTGCAGGACACTTGTGCCCATGACATCACAGCAGGGCACAGTTGGTTGTTGTGTGCTCGGCAGGGACGCCTCAGTGCTGCCATTGATGTGCGGGTGCCAGCTTGTGCGGGCGGCGGGGATTGTGGATTGTGTGCACATCAGCCCTGGGACTGGTGGCAGAGAGGGAGCCCTCAGGGCAGGAATGCACTGCAGCGCTGTGGGAAGCTCAGCAAATCCTAACAGGAGGGAGATGTGGGATCCAATGGAGAATGAGGCCCTGCCAGGCATCACTTGGAGTATTTTTTCCTTTTTTTTTAGGCTGCAAATCAACATTTTCAGGCACAAAGGACTGGCACTCTGCTCCTTGCCCTCCCTGCGCCCTACCCAGGATCACAGGCACCAACAGCCCCAAAATATCCCATAGAGCTCCCCAGAACCCTGGTTGCTGGGCAGGGCTGGCCATGGCACTACCAGCACTCAACAGCTTTTGGTGCTCATCGCATCAAAGCCTCAAAATTGAACCAAACACAGTTGGAACTCAATGAGCTGCTCCACACCACACCTGGCATCAGCGATGGAGTGCTGGCTGCTCTGTCGTTACCCCAACTCGGGGGAGGTCCCCCACGTCCCAACAGAGCCCTCCCTGGGTCAGCACCCACCGCCTCTCATCGCAGTGTGTCCCCACCATCGTGCCACCAGGAGCATCCCATGTCCGTGGCGAAGGAGCTCCGTGAGCTCTGTGCTGCTGTAGTCAACCTGTGGCCATTGGCTCTCATTTTTTCTTTCTTTCTTTTTTATTTATTGTGTAAACGAATAACCACCTTTTTTTTTTTCACAACAATGCAAGTAAATACCAAAGTCAGCCCATTGAACTGCATCTTCTACAGAGGAAATTTTGAAGCACTTAAGGCAAGATTTTTTTCATCTCTGACTTCTATTGAACACTGAAAAAATACAGGACTTTCAGGTACAGCTTAACAAAATTATATGGGAAAAATCTTTTTTTTTTTTTTAATTTATTTATTCTTTCATTTAAAAGATTTACATTATTATGGAAGTCGATGCTGAGACACATTTGTCTCTGACTTCCTTTAAAAATCCATTGGTTCCTGTTCATCTGTCTGTCTGTTGTAATGTAAAGGCACACAATAAAGCTTTATGCATTTATTAAAATATACAGATTTTGGTAAATTTAGATTTCTTTCGTAGTATCTTGATAATATATATATATACATATATATGTATCATTTTCAACAACACAATCATCTGAAAATAAAAATCACTCCATAACATATCTGCATATTTTTTTCTTTCTCATGACACACTACAAGACCCCATTGTACAATGCACCAATGGGCTTCTGGAAACGACAAAAATAGAATTAAATAAAATAATTTAACAAACTCTTTTAACAAATACACCAATTTCATATCAGAACTGCAGAGAACTGTTACACCAGAAAGTACCGTCTGCAAAAAAAGCAAGATCTACATCAGAAAGACCAAAAACAAAACGAGAGGAGTGAGGATCATTTACAAGCTGGGGCTGTGACACCGGCGTCGCTCGGGGCGTGAGCTCTGCTGTGCAGAGGGTGCGTGCTGGGTCGTGCTGCTGTGGTCACAACCTGCAGAGGGACCAAGATCTCACCGGGTTGGTCTGGGGGATGTGAGGTATTTCTGCTCCATCTGGGTCATGCTTTGGGCTCCAGCAACAGGATGCTGGCTCCTGGCATGGAGTGGGACAGTGGTGGTGCTGGCAATGCTGTTCTGTAATGTGGTGGCTGTGTGAAAATCTCCTTTTAGGGCATGGAGAAGTATTTGGGTTACAGCAACACCTGTGCCAGCTTCCTGGCCCCTTTCAGCATCCCAAACTGGCCCTAGGCCAATGCTGCCCAAATGATCTCTGCTGGTGGGCCTGGAGTTGTGGGCATCCTTCCCTGCTTCCCTGGGAATGGATGAAGATGGGATGGAGATGGAGAAGGGCAAAGGATGAAGAAGGGATGGGAAAAGATGGAGAAGGAACGAGGAATGTTGGATGGCTGCAGGAGAACCACAGCAGCCCCAGACCGCCACTCAACACACTGATACAATGACAGGTGCCTAGACGCCAAAGAGCAAGGGAGCAGGCTCTTGCCAAATGATACTCAGGTGGACACAACAACACACACTGGTACTGCAAACTGCTCTGTAGCAAGAGATTAAGGCTGCAAAAGGAACAACAGGCTTCGAATCAGCAGGGTACTTGGGCACATGTTTGTTACCCAGCAGATGCCTAAATACCGTGCGGTAGTGGGACGAGGATGACCACCCCATGGTTTAGTTTGAGAGCTGGTAGGAAAACAGCAACAATCTTTCTCCCTGAAAACATAAAGCCAGACCTGCCAGGTGCCATCTGTCCTGGGTATCTCAAAAGCATCCTTCAGGGGAGCAGCGGGGCACAAGTGAGCATCATGAGAGCTTCAGCACTGCTGGGGATAGGCGTGTAGGACAGATCCCCAAGTGGATTGGTAGAGCTTATGTGCATCGTGGCGGCTTTTGGGTGGGATGCTCTTGGGTTGCTGCTTGTGGAAGTGTAGCAAGGTTGGGCAGCAGGAGAGGGTCCAGAGTGAAGCTTAACGGGTCCTTTTACCAAACCCTCCCATCCTGAAGCCCTCCCAGTCACTTCTTTTGGTTTCACATTAGAAGTGTCTCTAGAACAAGCAGCATCTTTGAATCTTTTCACACATTATCCACCAAGCCAAGGTTAGAAATAACATGGAGGCCAGAATGAGTGCTGGGATGTGCCCACAACAGTTCACAGACAATGGGCTGGCTGTTTTGGGAAAGACAAAATGGTGGGAACAGCATCCAGTTCAATCTCAGGGACACTGTGTGGGGTTTGCTGACTGCTTGCATAAGTCTAGGTCAGGTGTGATCTGAAATGAGGCCAAGCTCAGATTCAGGATGCTTGACTATGCCAGGATTTCAGGTTTTGTTTGAGACTGTCTAGAGCAGTGCAAGACATGGTCTAACAGTGAATCCTGGTATTTACGACTTTTGGATTCGGGGCTGGGGACCATCATAACATGGCCTTGTTGCATACACTTAGTGCTGGAACAGCCATGAAAACGCCAAGTGATGGGGCCAACCGAGCTGAGCCACCCCCTTGGATGAAGCTGGTTCACTTTCATGTCCTACCTGCCTGTCCCTCTGGTTAAGCTATTACTGCTGGGTGGTTAGAGGAAAAAGCACACGTGCTAAGAAAGTGCCAAACACATAGGAGTGGCCACAGGGTGACTATTTCCCGAGGGAAAACCATCTCGTCCCCCCACGTGGATCATTCCACCTCTCAGAGCCCCCTCAGTTTGGCACATCTCCCACTGGGCGCCAAGTGGGGCTCGGCAGGTACCAGGGCTCCAGCATTGCCTGGCTGGGACTCAGCTGGCAAAGCCCTCGGGTGGGTTTGGTTTGGGGTCGGCAGCGGTCGCGGCGTGTGACCCGAGGACCAGAGGTGAGGGGGTGGTGGTGGAGGACAGGACGGGGCAGGGAAGCCGCAGGCCCTTCCTGGCTGGCTGGCAGCACGGCGTCCCCCTGCTCGCCCCACTACTCAGGTGAGTAGTCCAACTCGTCGTTGGCGATGAGGGCCTCTGAGGACGGTTTGTGCCTGCCCTTGCTTTTCGATCTGCTACTCGTCCGATGGCTTTCCTTTGCTCCTGACATTTGCTGGTATGAGAAGCCCTTGTCCTCGGGAGGGCCCCAGTCTGGGTAGCTCTCACCCTCGGTGGCGTAGGAGAAGCCGTCGTCCACTGAGAAAGGGTCAACGTCCACATCATAGCGCTGGTAGGTGCTCTGGTGGAGGGCCTCCTCGCGGGCACTGATCTCCAGCGTGCTGTTCCACATCCCGTAGCCAAAGTAAATGAGCAGACCTGGGGTGAGTGAGAGTGATAGGTTGTTGGGGAGGACAACGCTGCACCGTCGTTCCCCTCAAAGCCACACCTGAACCCACAGCCCGTGCCAGCATCCAGCCTCCTCCATCCCACCCCCTCCTGTTCCGTGCCAGTTGGCTCGAGCTGGTGAGGGCTTAATCTAAGTAAATATTTTTTAGCTTTTATTTTTAAGCGAATGCATGTTTTCACTGATGTCTGGTCTTCAAACCAGCAGTTTGACAACCAAACGTTGTCAGCGTGTGACCGGGGAGCTCTGTGTTTAAAACATCAGCTGGGACGGCTGCTTAACCGTGTGACTGTGCCATCTGCAGCCTTGGTGGGAAAGCAGTTCCCAACAGACCTAACCTGGCCTCCTATGTTAGAAGCCCACGTTTCCAATCCAGCAGCCTCCCAGCCATCCTTTTCCCTCTGGAATTTTCTTATGCTCTCAGTATGTCTCCTGTCAGTACCCACAGCCCTGTGTGCCCAGGGTCTGGCACACATCAGCAGGGTGACCTCGTTATCATTGCTGGCACCTGACAAGGTGTTAGATGTGCACACAGGTGCAAGGGTTAATCACAGCAGACTGATTTGATGCTCTGAAGCCACTTTCCTTCTAAAGAACAGGTGTGGGTCTTTCCCTTGATTTGCTCCTTCGCTTATTGGCTGAGTGAGCTAGAAAAACTCTGAGCACCTCTTTTCTAGCCTAAGGGCTGTGCATGGCTCCTCAGTAGCTCAGTTTAGGACTCAGAGGTGCTCAGAGATGGAGCTTTGCTGTGGGGCCTCAGGAATTATGTGTGAGAGCTGCCTGCCTCTCCCATCCTTACTCTGAAACAAGAGAGGATATGACAACATGGAGGAGGAAAGCTGGTAGCAATCTCCCTCTGAGGGCTGGTAACTGTGGAACTGTTCTGTGATAGTGAAGGGAGATTCAAGGTCTGTTAGTACTACGACCAAACTTTTTCCTTATAGGAGGCAGCTGCTGCCTCCAACGTTTGCAACAATCCACTTTCACACCTTCCCGACAGGAAGAGCATCTGCTGGGGTGCTCAGCCAGAAACGGCTGTTTTGGATGTTGGCACCAAAGCTCAGGGTCTGCTGTCTGCAGCTGGGGTTCCAGTGGGCTGTTGCAATATCCGTGTTTGCTCTTATGGCTGCTGTGTCTCTCTTAAGGAGTCCTTGGTTCTGATATTCCTTGTTGCTTTGGTTCTCTGTGGTCTGTGGCTGGGAGCCTTCAGGAGGAGCTATGAGAGCTACACTTTCTCTCTTAGGTATGGGAATAGAAATATAAAGCAAAGGAGATCATGGGCATATCAGGCTGCTGGATATGTGCTGGGAAGACTAAATTTGGCCCAAATATTCACAACAGAGCCTACGTGTTCTGAGAGCCCCCTGCCATAACGTGAAGGGTTCAGGCCAAGAATAGGAGCTGGAGCCTGCAGCCCCTTGGCATTGCCCCTTCCAGTTAGGGTTGGACAGCTTTGCATTTTAGAAATGTGGTGCTGAAATCTTGGTGTGGGCTGCTGAACGAGCTCAAGTGGGTGAAATAGCAAGAAAGCAGGCAGATTTCTGCAGGAAACCCACCTACTTTCCATCAGAAGACTCATCAGAATAGTCACCTTTGCATGAAGAATTTTGCTTCCATCAAACTGACATTTTTCTGGAGGTGTAATTCTTGAGTTAGCTGCAGTCTGGGGGCTTGATTAACAGATTTCTAAGAACTCCAGCACTATGAGGAGCAAATGCAAGGGACTGGGCATTGCAGCTGAAAAAGCATTAGCCTAAGCACTAATTGGTGACGTTGCTATTACCACCCTTTGAAAACAGGGTCAGTAATAAAATAATCTGGGACTCACCCACAAAACACCAGACAGCAAATCGGATCCACGTGACTGTGGAGAGTTTCAGCATGAGATAGATATTCACCAGCATGGCGAACGCGGGGACGAACGGAAGGCAGGGTGCCATGTAGGGCAGCTTCTTGGGGTTCTCTGGCTGCTGCAAGATGACAAACACCAGCACGATGATGAGCAGGATCATCAGCACAACAAGGAGAACGGCCCACCAGCTCTGCTCAGAGATGTAGTCTGACCCAAAAATAATGAAGGAGCAGAAGATGAACATCAGGACGAAGAGCAGGAGCACGCAGGTGGTGACCGTGTGGCCGGTGGCTGCTGTGGGCCGATCCATCTTCCCCGGCAGCCCCAGGTGGATCCGCATGGTGTAGTAGCGAGGGCCGATCAGCTTCTTCAGCTTGATGAGGTAGATGTTCTCAGACTCGTCCGCCTCGATCCCTGAAGTCATGTCGACTGTGCCGTAATTGGGGTGATTCACGTTATAGGTGGATTTATCAGATTTCCCAATGAGCATCTCGTTGTCCCCCAGCGATGGAAGGTTTTTTGCCCCACACGTGTTGGTTGGTGGGCCTGTGAACTCCTCTCCTTCGCTGCCTGGGGAGCAAGCTTCCTTCTCACAGTCAGCCAGGATGCCCTCTTTCTTTTTGGTGTGCTCCTCAGAGAGGAACTTGACAAAGCCATCGATGTCACTCTCGGGCTGGTACCGGAGGAGCAAGACACAGACAGACACCAGTGTGTAGGCAAGCAGTGTGCCAATGGACATCATCTCTATCAGGTCCCGCAGGCTGACCAGCAAGGAGAGCAGTGCCGCAAGAAACCCAGAGACTATACAAGCTACTACTGGCGTTTCTGTGTAAGAGCTGACGTGGGACAAAAACCTGCAACAAGAAAAGAGTTGTAGAGGGTTAAAATTGCGGGTTGCAGTGGCTGCCTGTTGTAATAGCCCATACCTGGCTGGAAAGGCAAAGGAGAAAGCCAAATGCTAATGTATGTATGACTGACCTGAAGAGTAGCCCATCGCCGGCCATGGCGTAGATGACTCTTGGCATTGGGAATAGAGAGCCCAGCAAGCTGACGGTCAGGCCGGCCACAGACCCAATGGCAACGATGAACTTGGCTGCATAGAAGCCACGTGCCACAAACATTTCCATCAGTGGGGACTCAGTGTCGATGGCATCGTATGGCACCATCAGTGTGAGGATGATGCTTACCTGGGGAAGGTAAGATGAGTAGGACAGAGGGTCAGCAGCAGCCCTGAGCTTGCAGTGACAGGGGCTGCTTCTCAAGGGTGGGAAACACGCAAAGAAATTGAGTCTAATTAGAACTGTATCCTTACATCTCCTGCGGAGAAGATGTGAAATGCAGATGTTTGGGCTGTGTGATCACTGTGGAGTGGTTAATTCAGGGGCTCTGCTACCGTGGGCTCTGCCACCCTAAGGCAACAAGGGACCTGAAATTCCTGAGTATAGACGTGCATTTACTGGGTGCAGAGAGACTGGACAGGCTGTGGCCATCCATGTGTGTCCTGTCCCACACAACTGTACTTGTTTCAACCTCTTGCAGACCCCCAGTGGATGGCTGTACTCATATAGCTAGTACGTATGGACATGTATTCATACACACACACACATAGCAGGTACTTACGGACACGTATGCTGTCAAGCACGCAACGAGTGAGGCTGTGATGGCGTAGGGGATGGAGGTGTTGGGGCTCTTTGCTTCTTCTCCTGTGGTAGCAATGATGTCGAAGCCAATGAAGGCATAGAAACACGTCGCAGCCCCTTTGAGCACCTGCACAGAGGACCCACTGTCTCAGTGCCATGAGGGTGGCTGGCACCCAATTGGGAACAAGTGATCATGCAAAACCATTCTGTGCTTATTTTACTTTCACTGGGGAGTGGGATTAGGGTTGCTTGGGGGCACTGAAAACACTATGGATCCTGAGGGATTGACTGACTCCCCGTCCCCAACATGTTCATATGTTTCGTGTTAGCAGGAATTCTCATCAGCCAGCAAGATCTGCTAGCAGAGGAAGCAGAATAGAGCATGGACAGTCAGACATGCACCACTCTCCAAACAACCTTTGCTTTGCTTGGAAGCTGCAGACAGGTTGGAATACTTGAAAGGGGAATTATTTGTACTGCTAGTTACTTTATTATGTTCTTTCTTCATGTACAATATTAGCATGTTTATAAGAAACAAACACTGAAGCTGGCTAAAGACTGTGTAGCTGTAAGGAAAGAGCTAATTTGTAGTTGCAAAGCCCTTGCATACTTCTGGCTAGGTGGATGTTGTATGTCCATCACATCTATCTCAGTTCTTTAGTGATGGAGCACACAGGAAAATTCACCTCTTTCAGGGGACAGTCTGTAATTCACTTTTCAAAGTATCTCTGTGCTTCTGGGGATCTCGAGCTTGTTGCTGTGGCGGATTAACTTCTACAAATGATTTCAGAGAGAAACAGCCACCTGAAAACCATAGGAAGACCCTATTGTTTTTCATGTGTTTTGGATAATGTATCTTTTAAAACCATGTACTTTTACCAAGAGAGATTTGGAGGATTGAGTTGGAATGAAACATTTATTTTTGGCACCCTTTTTTCTTTCCTATTTTATAGCAGAAAAAGACAGGTATCATCCAAAAGTAAATCTGACCTCTGTTCTTAATGGGGCCTGAGCACTGCTCCTCACTGCCATGCTGAAGAAGAGAAATGATGATTTACAGAGGTGAAGGGGTGGCATGTCAGCTTGGGATCCTTTCAGCAATCAAGATTTTTGGTTTACTTTACTTTCTTGCTTATTTTTCCGCACAAAATCCCTATGGAGTCGAGCAGTGTAAATCTGAGAAGTTATCTTGGGCTTAGGCCAGCTGAGATATTTTCAGTCTCTGTTCATCTCTGGATAAAAACCAGTGCAAGCAAGCTAAAAAAGCCAAATATGTCCAAATTCTCAGTAAGTTTTGAGGGAGCATCCGTAAAATAAGCACTGGCAGGTGGCATTATGAAGTGCTCAAAACAAATGCTCGAGAACATTGTTATTGAAAAGCAGCCAACATAAGTATCTCCCCCTCTGCAGGGGATGGGCTGGATCCTCCCGAGCCCTTCCTTGGACAGCCACCGCGTTTTGCTGCTGTGAGCCTGATGACAAATGACATTTCCTGGCGTATGCTTTCACGTGCTATTTGGCTCTCCAAGAGGGCATCTAGGAAAAGGACTGAGTTTATTCTAAGAGTGGCAGGAGATACAGGCAAAGCATCACCGTGTGCCTCTGGTTTGGAAGAGCGAGGAGGGATGGGCCCAAGCTGGGAGCTAGAGGCCTCTGGTCAAAGCTGGGTGGGCTGAGCAGGGCTAGGACCTGAGGAGCGAAGTGCAAGCAGGGGCTGCACACCAGAAGCAAAGCTGAGCACGTGGTGGGGGTGGCACACAGGACTTACCCCCGGCCATCCGAACGGCAGGAACTGCCCTTCAGACCAGTTGTCGCTTTTGATGAAGAAGAGCCCGGCAATCATAATGAAGACCCAGACTATCAGGTTAATCACATTGAGCACGTTGTTCAGTCCCACTGAGTTCTTCACACCCATGGCCACGATGATGGTGACAATGATGGCGATGACTAGAGCAAGAAGGTCAGGGTATGACTCCTCTCCTTTCCCTGGGTAAGAGAAAAGAGGTGCGTAACTGTTTGTCCATAGCTAGGCTAGACGACCCTTCCCACACACAAGATTCTATGACTCTATGACTTTCAGTGCTTTTCAGATCCTGAAGTTTTGCAGTACTCCTCGTTCTCATTGCAAAGCTGGTTTCCAGGTGACCGTGCCACTGCAAGGTAAAGCTCTTTTATTGAGGTGATAAATCCTGATGCCTCAAGACACTGTCAGGAGTTTTTGGAGAGCAGAAAACAAATGATCATATCCTAGTTTGCATCATGCATACCTGATAAGCACTAATTAGAAGTCAATCGAACATTAAATTTTCAGAACAGAGCTACAAGACCACTCAGTGTTGTTACTGATAAGAGCCGTGGGCTGTTGCTGGTCACACAGAACCATCACAGCACTGAGCTTCTACATGTCAGTACTGCAGGCTCTCCCTAAAATTTGTGTGTGAGTTTTAATGGGGCTGAGCAGTGTTCCTGTACTATTGTTACCCTCTGATATCAACATGTTTTTTCTGGGTTCTGATCTTCTAAACGCTGGTTTGGTCCAGAGAGGCTCAAAGTAATGGGATCGTATATCCCTGCACCTAGAACCCAGACTCTGAACCGGATGCAAAGCACCAGGGGCCAGTGGGTGGTAAATAATGAATGAAGCCTAATATCCATGTCTGACGAGCTTCCAATGACATTTCAGGCCCTAATTAACGGATGAAGCTCTGCATAACAAGATGCACATGTCTCCAGCCCGATTCTCACCCAGCCCGTTCAGCGTCCCGACGCTGCTGATCATCCAGCGGCTGATGGTGTGGTTGGCCAGTGAGTCAAACATGCTGCTGAGGGCACTGGCACCCGCGGCCGTGCCAATCAGGTACTCCAGGATGAGGTTCCAGCCAATGAAGAATGCCACAAATTCCCCCACTGTCACGTAGCTGTAGGTGTAGGCAGAGCCCGTGGTCTTGGGGACCCGCACACCAAACTCAGCGTAGCAAACGCCTGTTTGGAATGAAAAAAATATGCTGAAATTCATCCACAGACAGCAGCAGTGGGCAGTGTGGTGCTGTGGTCGTGATGGCCCAGTTTCCATACAGTAACTCTGATGGTGACAGAAGTTTCCTCTTCATCTGATAGGGATGCTAATGTGTCCTGAGCCATTTTCTCCTGAGATGTTGTGTGCCTATTCTGGGTCACTACAATGCAGGTGCAGGCATGAGCGCTGCCCTGATCATCCTGCTCTCACTCTACCTGTGCCAGATGATTCTGAAGCCATCTCACAGAAATAACTATGTTATTTTAACACTTAAATGTTGCTTGTACATTTCATTCTGAGGAGTAACTGCAAAACTGTCTTTGTAAAGAAGGGAAGAAAGGTGAAAAGTGTGTAACTGAACTACCTGGGAGGAGATTTCAGTGGGATTTAATACTTTCCAGACTTACTACATCAGGGTATTTTTCAATAAAATCCTGATCCTAACACACCACTGTCTTGAAACAACCATCAGGTTTTATTTAGTAGTCATGGATGGAATCAGAAATTCCCAGGGTGTTGGTCAGGGTAAGTGCTGGCAGGACCACCCACCCCACAAGGTGGGGTCCTTGTCCCTGGCTGTGGTTTTCAATGCAACTCTTCCAAACTGGATTTCTATAGAGCTGGCCCAGCTACGAGAGCAACAAGACGTCCAGATCATCCAGCCCCACACCGTCATTGTTCAGAGCTGATTAAAAATGCATGCATTCTGCAAAGGTAAGGCACTCACAGATAGCTGCAGGCCTGAATGATTTATGAAACAGGTGCTCTGGTGGGGACTAGTATCTGGTTTCTGTCTGTGATAGCTGTAAAAATCATATAATCTTTCTTGGCAGCTCTACTTTTAGCCAACAAGATAAGGCTTAAAGAGGATTGATATTGATGCAGAGTGATAATGGCAGAGCAGAGTCTTTTATGTGTATTAAATGTTTGATTTTTCAATTACTCAACAGGAATCCCAAAATAGTAATCTTTCACTATACATTGGATATTGCAACCTATAGGGTATATCTGCTTTAGATTTCAGTGTATGTTAAGAAAACAACCAATTTTTATCATAGCATGTAGTAGCAGCCCAGGGGATGAGAGATGCAAGACCTGCACACATCCCTGACTGCTGACATTGAGTTAATAGCAGGTGGCATTAATCAGGGCATTTTAATTCACAATGCTACAGGTCCTCCAGCAGAAGTGGAGTTCACAGCACTTCCCTCTGTATGCACTGCTTAAAAAGGGAGATGATATAACGTATTAGGACGTAGATTTTATCTTACTGATCTCAGCTCTATCTGTAGTGTAATAGTGATAACAAAGCTGCATAACTGAATGTTACTCTGTGCATAGTGCTGTGACAAACCCACAGCGCCATCAAACTCAGGCACTCCCATTTCCAAGAATGATTCCCAAATTTCTGTGAAACTGGGACCTTGCAACAGTGCTAAGTTCCACCTCTTCTTTGCAGAGGTTACTTCCCCTTTTGATGCAGAAGAAATCCTGACTTCTATGAACCCCTGCTGCTGATGGCCCCATCCCTCCTCAGCCACATCTGAGCATTACAGCCCCTCTCAGCACCAGCAATCTGCAAGGCATTCTGGAAGGAGCATTTTCAGCCAAAAACCCTGGGATAATTTGCAGGTAATGGGCTCTGACTTGATGACCGAGGGTGAGCACAGGTGATCTGGATATCTGCCTGAGCTGCGAGCCAAAGCAGCTCCTTAAAATCCATCCATGCACGGATGTGAAGTGAGAGCTGAAATCCCCACTGCAGCCCATCTGGCTCCCAGCCTTTACTGGGTTTCACCTGCCAGAAATGCACTGCTGTTACAAACAACAGCAGTGTCAATGATGAAGCAAGGAAGTGGCCAAGGAGATAATGAAAACACCGCATCCTTGGGAAAACACTTTCCCAGGGCTGCACAAGCAGGGGGGAGATGAAAGCAGGGCTGGGAGCGGCAGGGCTGTGGGGCCGGCAGGAGCTTCCTGCTGTGGGGCAGGGCTCACGGCTTGGGGGAAAAAGGCTCTTTTTGGGGACAACGTGTTTTCTCAGAGCGGACCCACCCAGGTTGCTCCACTTCATTTGGTTTGCGTCACAAAATGGGCTGTGGGAAATGGGGAAAGCGCAATGATCTGAGGACTTGAAAAGTAGTCGGGTCCTTCCCATCCCGTATTGAAGTCCTCTGTCACTGAGTCAGGTTTCCTTGCCCGGCCCACACACGCAAGCTGGATTGCCAGACTGACACAGCATGCAAAGTCCTGCGAGCAGGGAGAGCGGGGACATGGCATCATCGCGTTAGCGCTGATCTGGAAAGGACAAATGCCAGCAGTACTGGCTTATGTGGAAACCGCAGCTCAGGCCATATGCTCAGCTGGGTTCAGAGGAGGCAATGGAACTCACTGACTTTTCACTAAAATATATAATTCCTCCCTCTCTGCACATAGCGTTGTTTTGTTGGAAATTCAAAGAGCGATCCTGAGTGAACAGGAGCCAATGACAGCAGCTCTAAAGGTAGCAGAGGAGTCGCTGGGCTTGGCCCCACCTGCAGGATGGCACTGTCCTGCTGGCTCCTCGTAGCTGGGCACCTCGTGCCAGTGGGGAACCTCAGTGCAAAAGAGGCTTTCAGTGTAAGGAGACGTCATTGTCCCTCCGTGCTGCATGTATCCTGAGTGCTATCACCTCATGCATGTGACTCCAATGTCACGAAACCAGCACTGATTATTGGCACATTGTCCAGCCGTGAAGCTAGCGACAGTGTGCCTGAGACCTCACTCAAAACCCACTGGAAAGACTCACCTGACAAGATGGAGGCGACGGCAGCGATGATGAAGGACACGATGACGCCAGGCCCTGCCATCTCCTTGGCCACCAGGCCGGACACCACGTACATACCTGTGCCCACACAGCTGCCAACACCAAGGGAGATGAGGTCGAGCGTGGTGAGGACCTTGGCCAGCCGTGCGCCCTGGCCTCCTGCTGTCCCCGTGCCCTCCAGCATTGACTCCACAGGCTTGGTGCGCAGGACGCGGGAGCGCAGGGCATGGCCTGCAGCCCCCCATGGCACCCGCCGTGGGTCCAGGCGTGACAGAAGGCCGCTCATGGCTGCTGCTGGGCTTGGGTGTCCCAGGCTGAATCTGTGCTCAGGGCTGCAGCCTCATCGCCGGTTCTCCAGTGGTGGCAACCCAGCTGCAAGAAAGAGAAAAGGTCTCACAGTGTGTGTTTGAGCTGAAGCAGCAGAGGAAGAGGTGTTGTCCCAAGGTGTATCATTCCATACACAGCAGGAACCTGAAACCATCCAAGTGCCCAGCCAACACCAAAAATGCTCCTGGGCAACACGAGGAGCTGGAGCACAGCAGGTCACCTCTCTGAATACTTCAAAATGCTGCTGCCTGAGCCTCTTCCCAATCATAAGATTGTCTCTACAAGCATGAACTAGCTCCTGCTTTTTCGTCTTCAGTCATATTTCCAGGCACTGTTCCGACACTTTCCTTTTCCTTCCTTCTCTTTCTCTTCTTTTTAGCAGGCTGCGTAATTCCCAGGCAAGGAGAAATGACCTCCTGGTGACGTGTGAAGACTTTGAGCAAAAACAACGAGAACTGACAATCTCTGCATATTGATATATAGAAAAAATAAATATTGTTTCTTTAATATGAATTTTAGCATGACAGTTTCCTTCCTGTTCATGCAGAAATTTGTTATTATTATTACTGCCTTGGAGCCAAAACAATTATTTTTTCAGTCTTTACATCCTAAACAAATTACACTGTGTCTACCAGGTGGCCTTGTCTTGCTGGAGTTTATTAAATAAAACACAGCATTTGTTTCACATTTTGGTTGATTGCAGTTTGAATTGCGCTGATCCTTACCTCAAGCAACCGCAAGCTGAAAGGATGCGTGTTCTGCCTAAGGATATTGATAGTGAAAAACGGTTGCCACTCTTGAGCAAATGTGCATCTTCAAGGTGAGAATAAGAGCTGGGTTTGGCTGCTTCAGGGCCACGTTCCTGTGTGCCAGCATTTTAGCCATGGGGGGAATAGCTCCTCTAACCAAAGTGCACAGCATCTCTGAGGCATGGGTTGATGCAGAGGTTTTGCTGTGTTTCACTCAGCTCTGTCCAATCCTTTATTTAATTCTTTTCCTTTGCAGGTTTTATCAGCACTCCTTGTTAAGCTGGAAGGACTTGGGTGGGTCTGCCTGGATTTGCAACAAACGGACCTCAGCTAAATAGAACACTGGGCAGAAATAGCTGCACGTTTATGAACAGCTACAGTCCAGATGCCCTTACTTCTGTGTCGTTCCCTCATGCAGTATGTTAGGTAAGAAAATAATCTTTTCTGGCCAGAAGTTGGGGTGGCAGAGGGCCCTGAGTTGCTGAAGGCAATGCCTTAATACCAGCTGGAATGAAGTTACTCTGTAATTGTGGCTGTACTCAGTGAAAGCGATCATTTGAAATTATCAGTGATATTTAAGTGAGAGTAGCATAGTGCTACTTCATTACTTGGAAACATCCTCTCCCCCACCCACAGCCATAAGAAACGCCTGATGGAGGGATAATGCATACCTGGGGCAGGCACAGCTCGTTTCTGCCCCGCTCCATCAATGCTCCCAAGCACACGGAGAAGGAGACAGCAGCAGAGGGGGATTTTGGCAAGTCTGAGGTGCAGGCATTGCTCAGCAATCACATTCATCCATTCCACAGCTATGTAAATGGTGAAGTCTTAGGGGACTGGTGTAAATCCACAGCCAGAGGGAGGGAGGAAGCGCTTTTCTTGTGCTTAATGGCTGCCCTCCTCATTGTGTATCCAGGAGGGTCGGTGGGGCTGTGCTGGGGGCCAGGGCCAGCTTGGCTAACTCTGCTGCCATCGTGTTCCTTAGCAACCTCTGTTTGTACCACAACAGTGTTCTTCATTAGCACAAATGAGCTAAAACAGCAATCACATCGAAAGGAGAAACCTCGGTGTTCAGAGGCACAGCTTCCTAAGTGTGTGGTTCGGTGCCAAATTACTCCTGAACTAAACCTGCTGCTTTCTGCTTCATCCTCATCACCCCATTCCACACCCACTGCCTGCCAGGGTGACTCGTTTAGTCCTCCTGTTAATGAGTGCCCTCTGCCCCTGGTGGCTCTGGGATGTCCCTATGCAAATCCCTCTGTAAAGAATGCAGGGAACACAAGGAGAATCAGTGTGCCGATGGTGATAGATTAGAAGAGAGAGCTCCAGGTGGTAAGGAACCAGCCAGGGGTGCTCCCTGAGATGGAATGGTTGAGTTTCCTCCAGCTTTCTCCTCGCAGAAGTCACTATGGCACAGGAAATCTCCCTGCTGCCCATGGAGGCCACAGTTTGCTTCAAGAAGGTGATGGGAAAGCCCCTTCCTCCTTGCAAGTGATCTAGATGTTGGCAACCCAGCCCACGGCAGGGGGATTGCAACTTGGTGATCTTTGAGGTCCCTTCCAACTTCAGCCGTTGTCTGATTCTACATGCCCTAGAAAAGCAGGCTCAGAGCAGACTCCTAGCAAATCCCACGGCAGCAATATTAACGCAGGTGCTTGCAGAGCAAAATTCATGCTTCGCCCCAGGTGCAGCTGGGCACTGAGATGACTCAGTGCTCAGACAGAATGAGAAATAAATCCAGAGAGAGACAAAAGCATCCCAATGCCTGCTGCTACAACAGCATTTTTGCCTCACGCGGGGTTGTGCGTGGAGCTGGGCTGCAGCATTTCTTGTGGGAAGGCAGCACGGAGAGCTGCGATGCAGAGCTGCAACCCACGGTGTGAGAGAAGAGAAAGGGAGAGCGGAAAATCCCTGCCAGCCTCGCTTCCCTGCCCGCTGTGTTGTTTTTAGTCTTAATTACTAGGCTGGTAGCTGCGAGCTGGGCAGTAGGAGCAGACACAAGATGTGGTTTTCATTACGACCCGGCAGCAGGGAGAGGAGTGACGTCAGTGCCGTTGGCCACGCGGCAGAGGGATGCTGCTGTGGGCTGCTCATCACACTGCTGCTTTCTGTGTGGGTTTGGAGTTTTGTGTGCTCGTTTTACAGCCTCAGAGCACTGCACAGGGGTTCAGCGTCTGCCCCTCTGCTGCTAATTTGGGATTTTTTTTTAACCCTTTCCAATTTTTTACCTCCATTCAAGTGGAGCAGTTATTATTTTAAGCTAAAATTATCAGTAAGAAAAAGCGTAGTGATATATTTTAGGTTTAAACCCAATTTAGCAGTGTGCCTACTGAAAAAAGAAAACAGCTCCAGGCTGTTACGTGGTGTTTTTTGTTTTTTGTTTTTGTCTTCATAGCAAAATGGGGTTGGAGGAGCTGCACAGCTCTTTTCTGTTCTTCTTTCATCTGTATTTTTTTAGGTGCTTTACCAATATTAATATTGCTGCAAGTTGGCCAAATACCATTATCTCCTTCTGAGAAATAAGCAAAATAAACACTGAGTTATTTAGCTTGACCAAAGACATAAGGCAGTGGTGCTGCAGACAGGGGTCCTTAAACTCTGTATTCCCGTCTCCAGTGCAAGAAAGCCAAACCAGCGTAACCTCCTTGTTTTGAAGCCTGTGGGACCCACTTCCAAAGCTGAGCACCCACATCAGGACATTGATCACATCAGGACACTGCATCCACAAAGGTGAGCAAAGAGGAAAAGATGGAGGTGAAGAAATGCATGCAGAACTGGAACTGGAGCTGGTTGTGGTGAAGGCCAGCAGATTCCTTAGTGTTGGGTTATTCTGAGAGCTGCTGGGCTCATTATGTGCCAGCCTTGCAAGCAGCTGCCCCTAGCTGCTGGGATCCCATAGGGAGAAATATCCCTAGGGTTTTTTGAGGGGTATCCCTCTGGGCATTCTGCTCTGCATCCACCACTGTGCACTTGGGCCTGCAGGAAGCCATCCTATGGAGGCATTCTGTGTTCCCACGTGTTTTCTGCCCTTTTTGTCCAGGGAGCCCTGGCTATGTGTGGTGCAGAGTGGTGTAGCACTGAGTGCCAGGTACTTCTGGCACATCCAGCCATCTGTGAGTGCAGCACTGTAAGTAATGCAGTATGCATGAAGTGCTCCATTTGTGTTTGCAAAAAGCTATTTAACCACTAGGAGGAAGAAAAAAAAAAAAAGAAAGGGAATTATGGAGAAAGATGTATAATCAATTTGCACATGTCTAAAAAGGACTGGTTTCTCATTGTTGTCTTGAGGTGGTGAAGTAAAAGCCTTAAAGAAACAGAATGATGCTGTAAGTATGAGGAAATGACAGATCAATAGATGGGTGAGCAGAGCAGAACCAGGCAACCAGGAACTTCTTGGAACTGCTGTGCTGAGGGCTCCTTCTAGGGGGCCGCACTGAGTTGAATAATAACTGAATTGCTTCTCCAGATGTGAAATGGAGAAAGCAGAGGTCAAACAGAAGTGCACAAGTGCTTGATGCAGCTGGGTGTTCTAAGGAAGGTGCAGAGAAACCACACTAAAAATAATGCTCTTCCAGCTGTACCTCGGGGTCGTAGTGGACAAGGGCTGCATTTGTATTGAGCTGCTCCGAGCTGAGACCAGACAGTCTGTTCTAGAACACCACTCATTGAAGAAATGTCTTTGCTTTAATAAGATGCAGGAGCAGCTTCTGTAATTACTTGATTGCACCTTCTTTTTCTTCCCCCATGTAGATCCATACTTTTGCACCGTAGAATGGAAGTCATTACGGTTTGCTCCAGGCCAGCCATGAGAGCTTTTTAAATTTGACATAAATCACAGAATGGGTTATTTATTAGTGTGTGAGGCTCTCTAAAGAAAATGGATTTTTGCTATTGCAAAGCCTGCCTGATGCATCATTGTGCCAATTTATTTCATTTCAGGATATCAATGTGAATTTCAATGGCAAAAACACAAATTACATTTTTCGGTGAAGTACTGATTTAATACTTTGTTGTTCAAACCAGAAAAAATAATGACTGTGTATCAAACACAGGTTCTGAAAATCTATTGTTTGTAAGTCTCTAATTCTGCTTTGAAGATTGCAGTTTTTACAGTGGTTCCTTTGCTCCTTGCTAAGGAACTTTTTCCTCCCAGCTGACTCTCACCAGCAGTCTCTCTGGCTTCTGGAAAGCCTTCCATGCAATAATTTAG